CATTAGACACAACAGCACCAATGTCATCATAAGTTATACAGAACAAGCCATCCATAAACTTTGCATGCAAAATGTCCTCTTTGCCTTTTCTGATGACACAAACGCTCCTCTTGAAGGAAATCTCAAAACCACGCCCAGTCAGCTGTGGGACACTGAGCAAATTGTCTGCAGCACCTGGAACATATAGTACATCTTTGATGGTAGTGTGCAGACTTGCCAGTTTCACAGTCCCTTCTCCTGCGATTCGCAATGTCTTTCCATCAGCCAGGTGGATCTCACCTTCTTGAGGTTTGAAGGAGATAAATAGGTGGTGGTCTTTCGACACATGGCGGGTACAGCCTGAATCAACAACAAACCTGGCTTTGACCTTCGGAGCAGACTTTGCAGCAAGCAAAACCTTGTTTTCCACCGGCGTTGGCTTTTGCAGCTTGCCCCCCTGCTCCTGGCCATCAGACTTGCCTTTAGCCTTTGGTGAGGCTGTGCCAGCAAACAAAACCTTGTTTTCCACTGGCGTGGGCTTTGCAGCTTGCCCCCCTGCTCCTGGCCATCAGACTTGCCTTTAGCCTTTGGTGAAGCTTTGTTTTTCTCTGGCGTGGGCTCTTCACCCTCCCTCTGCTTCTGGCCATCTGCAGGCGTCTGCCTCTGTTTACCTTTGCCCTTCCGGCCTCTGCAAAGGCGATGACCTTGGCTCCCATGAGAAACAGAGCTCTCATCTGCCGACTCCTTGGCTCCCCCTGGAGGCTGGAATGCTGCCTGGGATGACGTGACAGTCAGCTTCCCCTGCAGCTTGCAACCGGTGCCCTCGGCATCCCTGCATTCACTCGCATTCTGGGAAACAGCCAGGACCTCCGATGCAGTCAAACTCTGGGCTGGGATGACTGGCAGATGGGCTATCTTCAAAGCATGCCACATATTACGTGCAGTCAGATTGCCAGCTAGCGTTTTTATTTCCTCCAGAGAGACGGACAAGACGATTACGTCTATCGCCCTCAAATTTTCGGCCTCCCATCTATCTGTTAGAGGAACTGGAGGGGCTTCAGACACAGTATGCCACACTCCAAACTGACGCAGCAAGCTCTCACACCACACAGCCCAGGTCCCATAATTGTGCCGATTTAGCTTTGGGCACTCAGCAGCCTCAGAAGCCTGGAAAAACTCCATTCCAGCCTTTTATTTGAGCCTGAGTCTTATTCACTTCAGAGACGTCTTATCTTGGCTCCCATTAATCACGAAGCCTTTTGGCGCGGCTCCCAGATCCATTAATCTGCCGGAGTTCAAAGGCCCTTGCCACGGCAAACAGAAAAGCCTTACTTTCGCTTTTCCTCCACATACCTTTCAGCAGTCTGTCGCAGTCTTACTCTCCTGTAAGTGCTGTGAATCTGGGCCCATAACCTGTTGTTGGGATACTGCCAGGGAGATAAAGTCCATCAAGGCCCCCAAGCCGTCTGCCGGACGATCCATCTACCTCCCGTAGGCACGCAGCGACATGAGTTTCTAGAAAATATCTTGCCACATTCTAGAGCTCATGCACGCTCTATCAGCAGATAATGCACAGCCAAAAGTTGCAGTCAGGAGAGCATTATTTACAAGTTTATTCAGCGTTGATCAGAACACAGAAAAACATGACTGCCTGCTGATTTAGTGTCTGCGACACAAGAGAGAAAACGAAAGCAGTAGCAAAAATATAAACATCCTGTGAACAGGAAATACGCAGACTCTGACTCACAAAGCCTGCTCCCTTTTAAGGTGGAACGGAAATATCCTAACATCAGGCTCCTCCCTAAAGATGTCCAGTTCCATCTCAGTTCCCTAACTTATCTACTCAGTCTGCTCTCAAAAAAGGATACATAAAAGTGAGAGTTTTGTTACAGGTAGGATAGGACAGTTGGATAAGATCAAGGAGACAAAGACATAGACCACGGGCTGGATTCAACTACCCAGTTCCGCTAGCAGAAGCCAACGCAAGGGCTCCTGCTAGTGCAACAGGGCTCCACCCCTCACTTGCCCCCAATATCTGCTCAGGGATGTTGAAAGATTCCCCAGAACAGTGTGCAGATGAGAAAAGGGGAGATTTATTTATTTATTTATTTATTTATTTATTTATAACCCACCTCTTTCTCCAAGGAACTCAAGATGGCATACATGGTTCCCCCACTCCTCATTTAATTCCCACAACAACCCTATGAGGTAAGGTAGACTTGGTCCAAGGTTACCAGTGAGCTTCATGGCGGAGTGGGGACTTGAACCCTGGTCTCCCAGGGCTAACAATCCCCTTAGAGCTATGTTGCATTCCACCCTCAGGCATAGGTATAGTTGCATATCAAAGGACAAGATTTTACACTATATCAGACTTGAGGAACAGTATCTTCTAACATGTCAATTGCTGAACGCTTCCTTCATAGTCTTCAGTACTTACCAAGGACACCAAGGATAAGATTTTTTCTGCGGTGGAACCATAATAGTGGGGGAAATAGCTTGAGAGATGCTTACCAAACTTAATCCCTTACATCTTTCAGAAAGACTGTAAATACCTTCTTATTTCATTAAGACTTTGGATGTACTGGTTCTGCAGTTTAACTTGCCTCTTGCTACTATTTTATTATTTGGGATTTTTATTGCAGTTCACTTAGGTATTTTTTATATTACATTACTCTAAGCATCTTGGTGCCTGTTTTAGGTAAACATTTATTTAATTTAGTAAGAGTGAACTGATGACTTCAAAACCAAGCAATTTTCATGCAAATAATAAAACCACCAAGCTATATATTCATGTTATATAGAAATAGCAGTTGTTAAAATCAGAATGAGATTATTCTTCACTATATAGATTTTCTGTTTCATGTCTGTATGAGTTATCTTGCTCCTTTTCTTTTCTCTGTTATGAATTAAGTATTTTGCCCCTATGCTACTAAGGAAGAAAAATAGAAACAGTAATTATCATTAGATCTATATAATAGTTTAAGAGTACTGAAAGAGGGAGAACTTGTTGCCACTATTTCATCTCATTATTGACCATAAAACCATTATACCAAACATGCATATGCAATATGAAATTCAGCAATTTAAAGTAAAAACAAATTAAAGAAATTCACCTCTGATGCATGGATTACAATTAAAAGATGTGTACTGTCAACAATGATTGGATCCTAAATTCACAGATGATATGCTACAATTATATCACAACTTTCAGTCTCTAATTAGTGAGCTAATAATCACACCTATTAATAATCCATTGATGCCTTCAGTCTTATTCCCTATGCCATTGCTTTACAGATACTGCCCAGATGAACAAAAGCAACAAACATTTATCTGGCAAGCAGTTTCTTTGGAAACACCCACCCACAGTTAAAATAACTACAACCCTTAAATGATGTATTCACAGATGGGGGAATTTGGATTACTACTTAAAAACAAAGAAGGCTAAAGAAAAAAGTACAAAGAAATTCAGACCACAATAAAACTATCTACTTCCTTGTCTTTTGGTTTTTAGTATAGAGGGGAATTCTGGCACATGATTTCTCAAGGCAGCAAATTAATGCCACTTCTGGATAGATAAAAAAAGGGAAATAATAGCAGCTTATGCACACCCACACACGTCATTAATTAAGATATGTCTGACTGCAAGCAGTGGAGTCACTCTGGTCTACATTTCTTCTCAGGACTGGTGAGTGGTTTTTGAATACTGGTAGCCTCCTCTTGTGTCCCATTGTCGTTGATTATGTATGATTAATGATTTCAAGGAATAAAAGGGAAAGGTCAATTTCTGAGTTCAAGACAGAGCAGCTACACCGGGAGTAATTAAGATACTTGTGTAAGCATGATTAATAAGCACAAACAGGCATACTGTGCTGTAAACAAGACACAACCAGATGGTTTAGGAAGAAATTGGTATTTCCTTAAAAAGAAGGAAAGGCAATTTTTCAAGCCCCAAAAGTTGGCTTCCTCCCCACTCAGCCCCCACCCTACCAACATCTTAGAAGCTTATTATCTGCACAGCTTACAAAGAAAGGAATAGTAACCTCCTTAAACATTCATCCATTCCAGCCTCTCTCTTTTAATTTTAAACACAGATAACTAGAGTTTGCATGTAAATGGATTCAACTCATCTTTGTTTAACGTTGCCTTTTATGTCGAGTTCCATGAATTGCTAAGCCTGACAAGGTTCACTGGGAATCTTTTTAATTCCCACCCACAAGCTCTCGCTCGCTGTCATGTGACTGGCAGTATAGAGGGATCAGCCGTGGCATTTATCGAGAAAGCTGGAAGACAGGTGTCAGAACGGTCCAGCAGGCAAACCTAACGAACACTAATCAGCTCTGGTGTTCTTTTACAATCCATATCTAATTCGCAAGTTTCATTCTTTCTGAAAAACAATTACTAGGTTTTGAAGTTCATTGTGCATTTACTCAACTGTCTCTTCACATTAATGTAAAGTGGGAACAAGGAAAAAATAGAGTCAGCAGGGAAGGGACATCAAACGAACTTAGGATAGATGAAGGCTTTATTTTAAAAGTAATATAATTACAGATTTGTGTAATGTTTTACAATACATTTAAATGTGAAGTTGCATCCTTACACACCAGAAAGGTATTAGCTGTTCAGCTCTGGAGCTGAAGCTCTAATACATACAAATGACTAACAGGAAAACAACCAACAAAATCTCTCATTGATGACTTCAAACAAAAAGGTAAGGATTTTTAAGCCATTGCTAAAAGTAACTGTCTTTGAAGAATCTTCAAACACTAAGCCAATACAGCAATCACACCTTAAATTACAACTATTTTCTATGTATAAATATCACATAACTTGTGTTACAGTCAACATTGTTGTGAAGTAATTCTCTTTCATTTACATATTTTTCTATGTAATAATATTTTTCTAAACTCTGTATTTGTCACACCGACAAATCCTCTTACAGTTGGGAGTATATAATCTGGTAAAGCTTCACCTAATCTTTGCTGGCTATAGCGTTACTGACTCATATTAGAAAATTTGCTTTTGTACTGTATAATATTATGGGGCATCTTAAACTCAGGCACATTTTCAGATAAAATATGGATTTGCTTTAGATGTTATTTTCACACTTTTGCTACAAAATACATTCCGTAGGCTTTGTAGGCCCCATACCTTCTCTTCCTTTGTCAACATTAACCTTGCTCCCCGATAGTGAACTTCCTTCTAAAGTGATTATTTTATTGGAAGAAGCATATACCATTACTCCATGCACCTGCCATTCTCATTTTCTTTTAAAACAACAAGGACAGGAAACATGTGGCCCTCCAGATGTATTTGGACATTGGACTACAACTCCCATCATTCCTGATCATTGGACATACCAGCTGGGCTTTATGGGAGTTGAAGACCAACAACATCTGGAAAGCTACAGTTTCCCTTGCTTTAAAAGAAAAACCATAGCTCAAACACTCTAAGCAAACTCAGTAGCCTGTCCAGAACAGCACTTAGCAGAGGGCTAGAAATAGCAGTTGAGAGGCCTTTTCCCACCTCAGTACTGCTTCATCTATTCTCTAATATTTAGTCCCTGAGCCATGTCAGCAAAACTCTTGGCCTGTTTCTTTTCAGACTGCTCCCTTTCTGTCCAATGACTCCTGTTTCCATGATCTCAAAAGCAAGGAAGCAAGCATGTACTTCACCAAATCCGTATCGAGCATCTGATAAGAGGGGAAAAGAAGCTCCCTGTAAGTTGCACCACTTAAAAACTATATTCAGAGGCTAAACAATGTGGTAGGTATTCTTTTATCACTAATTTGTTATTTCCTTCAGCCTCAATTAAATATTTTCTTTCAATTTGAACACTGAAGTCAGGTTTTTCCTAGCCACAGGATCTAACCTCATCCAGTGAACTAACAATTTGCTCAGGCTACAGGTTCTTGAGGAGAGGTCACTAGCAGCCTAAAATCAAAGTTCAGAGTGCTAAAAGTGTCTGTCCATCTCACATCACTACAGATACTGCAAGTCACTGTTTCTCATACAGATCTATGTGCTTTAAAAGGGGGGACTACCCAGGAATAGGAGGGCTACCCAAGAATAAATATGCAAAACACCTCCCAGCCTTTTCCTTCTTGAAAGGAAGGTGGGGATACATGGCCTGGGTTTGTCACAGGTGAATAATGCAGAACACCGGTTTCTGGTAATATCAGTGGGTGGGAAGTAGGTGGCACACCTGCCACAATCAGTTGATTTTGTATACAATCACAGTATAGATTAAAACACCAAATTTGTTATGCTTTCTTGATGTGAAATGCTTATTAAATACTTTGTGCAGCTTTTGGAAGTGAAATTTTGTCAACTGCTATTGGGATCTGCACAGTCTGTAGTAGGAAGAAGTAACAATTTGTTAAATTTAGTTAGGTTGGGCATAATTTATATGCCTTTCTGCAATCTTACAGAATGTTTTTTTAATATAAAAATGTTTTTTTAATATAAATTTTAGACATTATCTTGCGGGTCAGCATAAACTGAGACACTAATGGAATGTTCCTCATAAGTTTTGATGTACTTGTTTTTAATATTTCAATCAACAACATCATATGCAAGCTCATAATAGCATCCTAGTCAAGCACATGGTAATAGCATTTATAGCAATTTCAGAAGAAATCTTTACATTTCAGTTTTTAAATGATGTGTTTAGTTACTTTGTCCAGACTGAGCACGTGTGGTCTTACATGTTCATCTTCAAATGACCCAGTTCTTCCTCAGCTACATAGAGTCATAGAATTATAGAACTATAGGGTTGGATGAGGGTCACCTAGTAACAATTCTGTGAACTTTATACCTGGTTTCCAGAGCTTTGGAATTTTCACATACTGCGAACCCATTTTTCAAACAGATACATTTTGGCAGATCATATATCTCGGTGCAATTGCAGCCTAGTAGATAAAGTATAGACTCATGTGCTGGCGAACCCCACTACCATCCCCAGTATATGGTGGGTATAATTTGACATGATCCAAAGCACAGTCTGGGCTGCACACTTACAGTTCTTTTATTCATTTATACATGCCTTGAACATTATTGGCATGGCAGGGCCACAACAGGGTAAGTTTTATATAAATTGTATGATTACACCCAAAATCAAGTGATTTCTGCAGGTCCAGAATTAACAGGGAAGTAGCATGTATATGTGGAATTGCATTCCAATGTACTTGAAACTACATACAAAAACTGGGCATATTAATACAAATCCTCTAATTGCCAACAATATGAAAATAATGGCAACCAAAACTCAGTTACTATTGTGTAGCTTTGATCTCTGCAGCCACATTAATGTCCAAGGAAAGGCCTGGAATTTTCAAATAACAAGGAAGCAACCTGACAAAATTAAAATGAAAAGTCAAAAATATTGTTTGTAATTGGCTGGTTATACTGAAAGTGTTATCTGGCTTGGTTTAGGCTGACCACCATCTTCGAAAGCTAATTTCCTTCCATTTACAAAACTAGTTAAATGTATATTTCCTGATGATCAGGGGTTGATATAGACATCTGTGATCTAAAAACAACAACAACTCACATTGATAGCTTAGAAGTGGCCAGCAACTTCTAAAGAACAAAGTGTATGATTATATTAGGTATGCTTATGTGCTGTATATTATTTTTATTTTTTTAAAAACAATCCTGCTTTTCTGTCCTTAAAAAGTTCAAGGTGCCTCACAAAGCATAAAAGCACCCAAAAAACAAGATGAGTATGTCTGCAGACATACTGTAGGTTTAGAGGCTTGGGATAATTTTATTTACTATTTTAGCATAGTGATGTCAATCACCGTATCAAATTGCCAGCCAAAGCTTGTTTTAATGTTCAAAATTTTGATAGATGAACAAAGTGATGCTGTAAGAAAGAAACTAACCATAAAACCTTATCTGCATAAGTCAAATTAAAAAAACCTGAAAACACAGCCTATGCAATACTTGTTGCTACGCACTTTGAAATGATACCACAGGAGATTGAAAATAGCTCCTGTTCTCTGCTGGTCTCTAAAACCGCTTCCTGCCACGCACTTTTATTCCTACAATCACTGTAATGTAAGTATGTGAAGAAGTGTGCATGCACATGAAAGCTCATACCAATAACAAACTTAGTTGGTCTCTAAGGTGCTACTGGAAGGGAGAAAAAAATTATTCAATATAAGTATCACTCTTTATCACTGTGATATAAGAACACTCTTACTTGCTATAAAATTGCACACAGTAGTGAAGGAAGTACATCCAAAATTAGTGCAGGTCTGCATTTGTGTCAGGACCCTCAACCCACGGATCTTGCAATTCACTGTGGTGGACTCGAATGAGATTCAGGCTACTTCTTCAGGGAGAGAACCTCCAACACCTTATTCAGGGCACTTCCAGCTAGAAGTCACAATCCTACCACCATCCGCTGACACAGAGGATACCGCCCCCTGTGGTACCTGTCTCCTCAGTCTCACAGAAGCCAAAGGCCAAAAAATAAGGCAAGGGTCCTTTACCCAACCAGCTAGCTTCTCCAGGGAGGCAAAGCCTGACTAGCCTACATAAGGCTTCAATTAGTTCTAGCTGTCTTCAGAGACATCATCTCTCTTAGAATTGCTTTACCAGGGGACCCTTGGAACTGTCCGAGGTCCTGTATGCTCTCTGCTGGACTTGGATTGGAGTTGGGACTTGGGACTGGATACTGCCTGCTTCCTCTGTGAATTCATAGAGCTGGATAGTTCGGTGTGTGTGTGTGTGTGTGTGTGTGTGTATGTGAAAATACAGTAACAGTGTGGAGTATCTGTAAAGACAGATTTCAGCAGCATGCTAAACACTAGCCTGTAATACTGGACTAAATGTCTTTCAAGTGCTGTTTTATTTTTTCCTCAGATAAATACATTCTGTTGACAAAAATCGATGGTAATTTTGAAAGACTGAAAAGCAAATATCAGGTCACTTCTGTCTACTTTGTCTATCTAAGCCAGGCCCAAACTGGCAGCTTCTATAGTTCAGGCTAATTGTGAGTGACTTTAGACATCAGGACAATGCTGTTCCACGCATCAACAAAACTGAGAACTGTCAAGTAGACTACAAACAATGACAGTCACCCAGCAGCCAGTAGGGTTAACATTCTCATTGTTTCCCACCTCCTTAGGAGGCTCTGACGGCATAGGAAATATTTCATAAACAACAATAAAAAGTGCAGATTTGCTCCATATGGTCAGCTATCCAGACATCGAAATACTGTATCTGCATACAGCAAATAGATCTCTTTCACTAAAATGCCAAATTGAGATCTTTAAAATGAGGGACATTTCTCACAAGATATATGAACAAGGCATTTTGGTCCTTGGTCTACATACCTAGGTACAACATACAAGTAGGTGGCCAGTTATAAAAAAGATAATGCTTCTTACCCCACCAGCTTTCCCCTTTAGAATACACTGCAGTAGGGAACCTTTCCTGCCATCCTCACTGTGTGGGAAAAGCTATGCCTGAAACCTGTATGTGGACTTTAAACTTAACACAGGATGCATATATTTTGACCTCTGTTTCTGCTCCAAAGTACAAAATACCTCATGAGAAGAGGCCCTTAGTGACACAGAAATGTTTTGAAGAGGCACTTCAGACATGTCAAAACTCTTAATGAATCCTGGAAGTAAAAGGAAAGTCTGTTTGCTTCTTATATTGATTTAACCAGGATTCCGACTGTCATAGTGCTTTTAGTTTTAACAGAAAATGTACAAAGTTAGAGCTGCTTGTTTTGACAACTACAAAAAGATTTCAGTTATGTGTTACCTGCTGAAGTATCTAGATCTTCCACAGTGAAAACCTGTTCATGTAAGTTCTTAATATTTCCATCTTTATAAGTGCATACAAGAAAAGTCTAGGCAGTCAAATTCTGACACTCACCTGACAAAGTATTTTGCTGTTTTAAACCTAGATTCCAGAATATGATGCAAAAGTTAATTTGCAAAGTATTATATAATAATTGAGAAACCCTGAACACAGATATCATACCAAATTTAGATGGTGCAATCCAATATTTAAGCAATTTACAAGTTGAGAGGACAACATTGGCCTAGGCCTTGAGAGGGGAAATCTTTCACATGAGAAAAGGAGAGACATTTTTATTTAATATCAAGAAAAGAGAATGCTCAGAAAGCATAATATATAGTTCTACTGCTGAAACTGATCAGGTCTGAACCTTTAAGCTTTCTACTTTGGAAATGTTCAACCATATGTAATCTGTGATTAACTTCTTGAAGGAAGTCTGGGATATAAGTAAATTAATGTACGACAACAATAAATAAAGACCAGGATTGTATTAAGATTATGAAGAACAAGTTTTACAGATTCCCAGTCCCAATAACTTTTATCCTTATAAAATATAAAAACTCTGTTGGATGAGACAAAAAGTTCATCTAGTCAAGCACTGTTTGCCAGCCTAGAGGTGGGATGTAGTCATAGATAAACCTATTCATGAATTTGCCTAATTTGCTTTTACAGTCACTTGATCTAACAGCCCTAATCAACTTCTTGTAGCAGGGTATTCCATAAATCAAAGACTCACTGTGTGAATAAGTACTTCCTTTTGTCTGCCCCTGAATCTCCTGCCAAACAGTTCTCTCTTGGATGATCCTGAGTTCAGTACTGAGAGAGGGACAAAAATATCCCTCTTTCATCAGTCCGGTACATGCATGTATTTTATACAGCTTGGTCACATCTCCACCAACAATTTTCCAATCTAAAAAGTCTGAAATACTAAAGAGCACCTTTGTTCATAGGAAAGGTGTCCAAGCCTCCTGGTTATTTTGGTTGTCCTTTAGTTGTCCTCACAATATCCTTTTAAAGAAAAATCAGAACAAACAGAAATGTATATGAGCATTAGAGCAAAGGTAGTTTTATTTTCTATTCTTTTCCTAATAACCCTTAAGTCCTTGTCTTGGAACACTTGGAACACTGTAAGTGGAACAGTTATAGAGAGTTTTCATCTTATCTCTCAGGCTAACCACCTTTTGACTCACTGGCTCAGTAAAAAAAAAGTAGGGCTCTAAGTGGTCCTATCGCCTACTTTTCTGACCCCTTGGTGGGGAAATGCAAGAAAGAGCAGGTTTTGAATACCTACCCCGCAAAAGCTAGCCATTCATTTTTATTAGAAAACACCCTCTTCAAAATGGAACCAGCCACAGAAAAGCTTCCTCTTCAGCCTAGTTCACAGGTGGGGAGGTAAGTTTGTGTTTGGGCTGTGCCACTTCAGATAAGACATGGGAGCTTACTGTATATGACTAAATGCTCTTCCATGTCTGAAACTGAAACACTATCCAGATCAGATGGAGAGCTTGATGGTGGAAGTTTTACTGGAGAATAGTGCCTAGCCTTTTCTGGATAGAGTGGTATCGCCCCTAAAGTTCATGTGAGCGATCTGTGACCCTTGACCATTCTCAAAGCATCCAGTTCAGAGAAGTGCTAAATCTCAGAGGCAGCTAGGTTCTAATCTACACATGAGTCCAGGAGGTATAGATCTGGTCAGTTTGTACTGTAATTAGCAAAGACTGAATTTCTCACACATCCCTAATTTATAGTACACTTCTTCTTATAATGTAGCATAGTAGGCTGTTGCTGTTTTGTTTTTTGTTTTGCTTGTTTGTTTTTGAGGGAGGTGGGACACCAAATGCCAGGCTGGGCACAAAGAGCTACTTATGTAGTTCTCTAACCATAGGAATTGTAAAATAGGCTTCTAGCTTCTCTTGATAATATCAGGAGATTGTATTTTTGGTAGTTACTTTGCTCCCTAAAGAAAGTTGCCAGCAGTTAAGTGGTGCTTGAAATTAACATATATAAAGTTTACAGTGGCAATGTATTACCAGCACAGTGCAATTCTGGAACTAATAAAAAAGGATAAACAGAAAATAGCATCAAGCAAATGAAATTTACAGTTCCAGACTTATGTTTCATAATGCTCATTTAAATCTAACTGACAAATCCTAGAATAGGAACGCAGTTAAAAGATCTTTTTCCCATGCATAAATATAAACAAAAATGATGGTTTCACCACTTGTAAATATTTATGACACTTTATTAAATCCAAGTTTAAAAATCTCAAAGTGCACTGAGAATCTAAAATTTTAATCCCTCTTCGCTTAATAGGATGCTCTGCAGCAAATTTAATCATCACATGTGTGGAAAGTGCATTTCTCTGTAAGGTACTCCTATCTGTTAAGGCTGCACTTCCAAAAACATAGATGTGAAAATGAAGTATTTACCACTATTCATAGATTCTGTCAGCCCAGCATGGTAATTAGCACTTAAACCAATAAGAGCATCTAACAAGGAATGTAAGTCCAGTTGCAGATTTTTGCATGTAATACCCCAGCCATTGCTTGAAACAGATCCTTAATTTACACCTTATTCCAGAAATAAAGGGGATTTTACCTGCAGTAGTTAAAAGCTCATCTCACAAAATTCTAAAATAGGACCTGGTTCTCTCAAAATCAGATAAGCCCATGCCTTGACAGTGCCACTCCTGACTGCTCCACCATTCCAAAAAAAAAGTTACATAGGCAAAATATTACCATCCACAGATAGATACAATACGGCCAATATTTGTGCTCACCACCAACTCTGCTTCCTGCACTCAATCAAAAGCCGCAGAAGCTGCGTGGGAGGTTCAGCTTCTAAAAAACATTCGCAAACTGGAACACTCATTTCCAGGTTTGCGGTGTGGGAGCCAATTTGTTCAGGAGCCAAGCCGTTTGACTACCAAGGTACCACTGTACATGGTAAAAGACCAGTAGCCATGTTGAAATAGAAATTAAAGTGCCCCTCCCTCAAGAAATGTCCCCTCCTTTATTGAACTCCACTTCTCCACTTTAACTTCTGAAGAACCAATAATGTATCACACCACATGGTACAGTATTAATTTCCACATCAAATAGAATCCACGTAGTTTTATTCTTTATTCTAGCAGCCCCCATAGCTTTTGAGAACCTTAATATCACTGCAATCTTTCACGTACAGTCCTGCCAACAAGCATCTTCCTGGAGATTTTTTTAAAAGTATTTGTTAAAAAATCGAAATAAGATCCAGACTGGTTTTTCTTTCTGTTTTCAAACAATAATATTCTCAACGGGCAAGGAAAAGCAGAAAAATCTTTCAAGTGATCTGTAAGGTAAAAGCTAGACTTTCTTCAAAGTAAATGCACGTATCCTAGCTCCAAGCAAGTTTTGCTTGTCCATTTGACTGCACTGATGTGACTCATCAAGTAAAAAAGACAAAGCACAGATACTCTCCTTGAAATAGACCAATTTAAAATTTAATATTCATACTGTATATCAAAATGCAGTGACTCTGTTTTCCTAGACATTGCAAAAAATTATGAAATCACATATTTTAATATCACTTAGAAGCAGCTTAAGTCACCCTAGTAGACTGCATCCCCAGGGTTGAAGTTGAGCACAAAAGGACAGGTAGCACCATTATTATTCAGAAAACATATCCTAATAGAACCTATAATAAATAGGCATCATTACTTACTTGGGAGTAAGTCCCAATTAACTCAGTTACATTTACTTTTGAGTCAACATCTACAGGATTGCAGTATTAGGATGTTGCTGCATTATCTGCTCATTGAGTTTAATGTGCAAGGGAGGAAGTACTAAGGGGTTGGGCTCTTCTTCCCTTTCTCAATATTGAAGTGCCTTCGTTGAAGGATTATGAGGTTGGAAGAGGTCCCTCCCAACACATCGCTTCTCCACATCTTTTTATATATCTCAAGGTGAGAGGGAAACAGCTTCATTGAGAAGTGGATGAATAGGAAAGTAAAGAAAGGGCTCTCTCCTCCAACTTCCCTTATCACCAGCAATCCAACCAAGTAGTGGTTCCACAGTGACTTGGTACACCAGACATTCTAGTGTGCATTAGAAGGAGTGCCATGAGATCTAAGCAAGAAGAATTTCTAATAAGAGGCTTCAAAGCTGGGCAAGAATTCTGCATCACCATGGATTCATTTGAAATATTGTGGTTTAAATGCAATACTTACACTGTTTAAATTAGCCAGTTGTTTGTGGTTTTTGAAATTCAGTCTTCCTGTGGAACCCAACACATTCTGTGCCCAGGTTGAAAATTTCTATATTAAAGCAACTGAGTTAATAGAACTATAACACCAGGGGCTTCTGCTCTTTGAGGGGTGGCAAGTCTAGGTCAGGCAGTCTGCTTCAATGCAAAAACAACAGAATCCACCTGTGACGTCCGAACAGACCTGGCAAAGAATCAAGATAGGTACAGAAGGCAAGGGAGTCAGCAATCCAGAAACAGATTCTGAACATGGGACATGGAGGGGGACCATCAAGTGAGGATTTAACTGATACCTCATGACCTGCTATTCTAGCAAGCCGTTGTTGATTTCTTCAGAACTTGTAATGTATAAAATAATTATAGTTATTATAGTATATAAAAAGTAGAAGTGATGGGTGGTGATCGCTAGATTTTCCTACCATAGCAATTCAAACAAACAAACCCATGCATGGTTCAGATATTCCTGCCTGTATCTCAATAATGAAGCACAAATTTGTAACACGCAATACTGGGTTAGATGGACTAATAGCCCAACTCAATATTAAAGGAGTTTCATGTGTTCATAAGCCCAGGCTAATTCTCTGTACAACAGCCTACAGCTTGGCAGAATTTGCATCTCTCCCAAAGCTTCCAATCGGTTCCTTACTCCCTACCTTAAAGGTGCAACACAAATTGCTTCATATAATTGCCTTAATCACCAAGAGTCAACAGCTTTACAATACAAGCTTTAAAATTAAGAGTCATGAACTCTGCCATTTGAGCAAGGTAGCCCACCAAGTTGCTTTTGTTTTGCACAGGTGTAACAATGAAAGGATAAGGGAATGGATAAGGAGGGTCACTTCATTTATTCACTTAATCTGCCTTGCTGTTGCTGGCCAAGTTTGCTCTTGGAACAGTGAAAAAGGCCAATTAATTTATCAATCTGCACTCTTTTCTGCCATAACATATTTTCCTCTTGCCAACAAAAAATGTGTCCATTATCAGCCAGGTCCCTGTCCTCCGAAGGCGGCTTGTGCAGCTGTATAATTACACTTCTTCCTTTGACAACTTGCATGATTGTTTTCCTAACAGTATATTACTTCGTTAGTATTTTCCAATATACGTTATTTTTAAACTGTCACTTTTGCCCAACTCATCCCAATTCACACTCGTCTGTTTATCATAACAATCATTAATAACTGTCACTCCACGCCATCAATTTAACGAACTCACTCCCTCATTAGCATGTTCTAGCATTTGTTCCGTAGAAAGCCTGATTATTTTCTACAACAGGCCAAGCCAATTACTTTAGTGAAATGGAATCACATTAATCAAAACTTAACAAGGTGGCAAATTTAAAGATATCTGATTGCAAAAGACAGCATAACTAATATGTCAATGTCAGAGGTACTATGTAGGTATGCAGCAGCTGTACTGAATGTATCTTTTCATGGAGAAGGCCCTATGAATTTTGACACTTCATATGATCTGACAACTACCAAAGTGATATCAGAAGGCTAAAGGCTGGGTTGAGCTGCTCCTGGTGACTTCTGTGGATTCTGGCAAGGGCAGCACAGATGGGGGAGGCACAAAGAAAGCAAAAGCAAAACGGTGACCATCCGTGTCTATAGTGCCTGCCAGACGGCAGTTCATCATGTCCCCCTATGCCAAGACATTTTCTTTTACACTTTAGAGCGATGATGCTCATCAATCACAACTTGACAAATGCACCAGAACCAGCTGCAAAACATGCATAGCCCAGCAGTCTGAAATACGCTGACGCAACTCACTGAAATCTAATATTTTTTCATTCAAGTCTATTCTGCATGGGAAAGACAGAGGGGACAATCTTTACACTCCCCCCCTTTAGAAACAAACAATCAGGTTTAGCCTTCCGATATATATATATATATAAACATTTTAAATAATAGTTGCATCTTTGTTATTTAAGCCTCCTTCTTTATTTCTAGAGCAAACGAGGCCTAATTTTAGAAATAAAACATACAAATATTCCTTGTTACTTTGAATGGTATGGCAGTATTGGAAATAGCCAATTTCTCTTCATTCCACAACACACACAAAAAAACAATGATTCATATTAAAAAGAAAAAATAATGGAAAGATTGATACATGTTAAAAGGGAATATAGCATCAAAAAGGATTACAGGTTTTGCTGTATAATGTTATTAGGCTTGGTTATATCATATACAGTTCATGAGATTGCACTATGATTCATTTTTACAACTTAAACAGCTATTTGGTTGGGTTGCCAGGTTGAACGTGATAAATGTGTATGATAAAACAGAACAAAGAAAGGCCATTGCTTGTAAACCTACCACATTAGTCAGTGTGTTAACCCATCCTGTACCAGCCTCACATTCTAAAGCCTCATCATGTTTGCTCTGTTCATTATGACACACCACATTAAAGTCTTCTATTTCAATTAACGCAAAAAAGTTGAGCATAGTACATTTTCAATAACACACACCACATGGGTGGAGAATCTGTGACCCTCTCAAAGTTGTTATTTCCCCACTCCCAGCAGCCCATCCAGCATAGCCAATAGTTGGAGAGTTGAACAACATCTGGGAAACCACAGCTTCCTTACACCTGCTTTGGGATTTAAGTATAGGAAGTTTACCTTGATACTTTATAACCAACTTTATAGCTACTTACATTGAAAACAAATTGAAGAGCTTTTTTAAATTTTATTTTGCAACCAGTCCTGTACCTAGAAATGTAAATAAACTGAAAACGTAAATAAATAAATTTGAACATGAAGCATTCAAATCAGGCCTAAGTGTGTTATTGGGGGCGTGAGATGTATTTTCAAGACATTAGGCTGAAATTTCACAAACGCAGCACAGTGTTTCCTGAACTCTCAAAAGAATAGACAAGAAGCCAGGCAATAAATGCCACCAGGCACGTATATTATTATAACCATAAGATATTCTCTCGTGTCATTCATTAAGATAACATAAGGGACTCTGAAAAGCCCACTAACAATTCCTGAGAATTCTAAGGAAATCCTAATGTCTTGCAAACATTGCAGGTTATTAGAGACAACTTCACTATTTGTTACGAACAACTATATCAAGCATGTTGGTACAACCAAGAGTAAGAAAAACCTGGTCATCCACTCTGATGTTGGTGTTCACTGTTGCAAAAATCATGCACCCTTCTCAATTCTTCTCCCCTCACCCTGGGACTCCTCTCAAAAGTTTAGTGTGTGTTCATTTGAAAATTGTGTGTTTACCCAGAGATTAATTTTTGACATCATAAATTTCATTTATTCCTTATGTATGTAAGAATTGTTACCCTATATTTCACATGCCTGCATGATATCATTTCATATATATTTTTTGCCCATGTGTTTTTGTTAATTACATGTCAGTGACAAACTCCACCATGATGTCATGACATTTCCACACTAGAGCATTATGGGCTGTGTAATGTCAAATAACATTTACAAAAGTTACTGCCAGGAATGGAGATTTTTATCAGGTAGCTACTGCTGTATATCATTGGCATCATCTATACACAACCAATTGCAGGAAAATGGGAGCTGACGCACCTCAACCTGTGGCCTGAGAAAGGGAGTAAAATACATCTGTCTAGAGAAAACTCTTGGAAAACATTCATATCAAGATATGTGCATGCAATGCTAATGAAGAACTTGAAGCACAATGGGAATCAAAGTGTGAAAAAAAGAAAAGCACCAATCATATAAACCAAAAGCAGCCATTTTCAACACAAAACCCATTTTTTCCTTCAAAACTTGGAAATTTGACAAAAACAACCCCAACCACTTCAAAAGAAACGGAACATTTTCATTGAAAATCATTAATCATGAAAATTTGGCACAGTGTTAAATGAACACATACACACAATGCCATGCACACACAGGTTTATAATGTGTAATGAGTGTTATGTGTAATGTGAACATTACCGAGACAGTATGTGATTCTGGCAGTAGAGTGCCCAAAATGACTCATTCTAAATGGAATAATGTAAAAAAGGAAGGGACAGCTCAGAACTGTTGAATGGGGTGCAAAGGCCAAGAGAAGTCAGAATCCACAAGTTGACCCAAAACAGTCAACAATACAAACATCAGCATTAGACCAAGAACACAAATGCAGGGCATAACCTTAAAAACCTTAACTGCAACAAGACATGGCCAGAGAGTCCACAGAAGAGAGGTATAAGGCCATTTGGGAGTTTAAAAATGTCATTTGGGAGTAAGAACAGAAAACACTTCAGTGACTAATTTGGGTCTGCATTATATATCTTCAGGGTCTATGTTTCAGTGGCACAAAAACTTGTGCAAAAACGGCCAAGTAAATCCTGAACATTTCACCATTTCCCCAAACACTGCAGAAGTTCTTGCCACACCTGTCCTGATTAAATGAAGAGACTGACAAAACCATGAGAGCTATAGTTGTGGCTGTTACAATTGTGCATCTGCTCATGTTTTGTGCATATTTTTATTTCAGTACAGTATTTTGATTTGAGCAAAAGAACCCTCATGAAAGAAGTGGAAGGAGGCAAGCAGAAACCAAATACGGTAGGTTTAGACAGAGTTGGACAACATTTATTGGTTCTTGGTGTAACAATGCACACTCCTCATGAGATCCAAAATATTACGAATGATATAATGTAATTTTAAAATACAGTATGATTGTCATATTTTTAACTTTTCTATTTAGATCACTTATTTAGATATTTTTCCATTTAAATATAGTATGCTTTATAAAACTGGGGGTGGGGGGGATGAAAAATCCTCATCGTGTTTTGGGCTGGTAATTCTCATGGATAGGTAGGAATCTTATGCATATCACAGAAGTTATGCATATGTAAAGGGAAATTTAACCACATGTTTTTGAGGGGCGGGGGGAGCTAAGGTATTTGCGATTAATATTGTTCAGGTGTTTTCTGTTGTCAAATACTAGTGTATCATCCTATCAGCAGTGTATTAAAAGACCCACAGTGTACAAGGAGTAGCTTTCTTGTTTTATTCCTAGGGAAAATGGCAACATACATATTAAGTCACTATGAGCATTAAAGGCAATTAAGCTAAACTGATCTGAACGAGTCTGATCTCTTTAAGATACAGCATGTGAAAGCTTTATCTTCTTGCCTTTTCCCCTCTTTGTGCGGTGTACAGTGCTCAAGATTAATCCCGGGGGATTTTTTTATTTTATTTTATTTTGTTTTGTTTTATTTCCTATTCTACCTATCTTTCATCTTCACCCCTAGACTAAGCAGATGGATGTGAATTCAAAGTTTTCTGATCTTTAGCACAAGTTATGGAGGGTTATCTTTGACTGTATATCTTTCTGCTGGCAGCGCTCCCTTGGTGATGAAGGATTAACCACCACAGCTGTCTCTTCCCAGAATGATGCAGTGCAGTTCTCCTCGACACGACAGCATCACTTAATCTTAATGTCCACTCTTCCAGTGCAGCCACGCAGGACAAAGCCAATCAACATCAGATGCCACCAAGATGGACCTACTGCTTGGCCCTGGAGTCTTTCACCCTCACACACCTATTAATCAACATCATCCAGCCCAATCCCAGAGTTTGGTTCTCGGAAACTACACTTAAAACTAAGCAAGGGTGTATGTTTTCGGTCAGAGGTGCTTTTTTTTAAAGGACTATGCATATGAACTGAACTGGCCAAACGTTTAATCCAAGAAATAATTACTTTTCTTCCAAGAAGTTTATCTGTATAGGCTTTGGTCTGTATTTGTTACTTTTTCTAAAAAAAAATATACCCAGTAATTTTGTGCATGCATAATCCGACAGTTGTGACACAGGAACATATTTAGTATTTATGACCTCATGGCTTGAAATACTTGAAGAGGGATAATAACTGTCTCAAACTGTGAAGTTTTTATGAGGATTCCTATTTGACTAACATGTAAAAAGGATAAATTTAGACACCCGAACTCTGTTCTGAAAACCGGAACAGCTATTTTCAACAGCACAATATGGTAAATGACAACAACAACAACAATGAGTATAGTGAGTTTTCTAGTGTTTAGAGCATTACTTTGTTATAAGTATTCCAGCAAGCCTGTAACGTAGACCAAATGTACCCACTCCATATTGAAAAGGAAGGGGTTGGAGAGAAGAGTGTCTTGTCCACGGACACTTTGTGTTTGTGACAAAGGTGACATTTGAACTGGAGACTTCCTGATTCATACCTCAGTCTCTTAGACACTGTACTAATAGTGCTCATCTTGTTGAGACTCATCCTTTGCTACTTTAACTTATCCTATGCAGACTTGCTTGCTACTTTTACTTGGACTCTAATTACAAAGCAATTATAATTTAGTGCCTTCCCTTTTCTTCCGATACAAATAAACCAACAAAGTCCTCAAAGGCAAATGCAATAAAATAGTAAATTATAGCTGGAGTTTACTAAACAAATGCAACCTAGTTAAATTTAGAAAAATCTTCACTTTTGCTTACATTTGCAATTTTACTGCTGAACTACTGGTATTTCTTACTTATGCAAACATTAAAATGTATAAGAAACCCTCTTGTGTACTATATATGCAGCAACTACTCATGATTTATAATACCCAATTTAGGGAGGGGGGAACACACACACAACTAAACCTGATTTAAATCACAGATTACTCTGTAAAACACAAGCAAGGAACTATTCCAAATCCTAAATGTAATTTAAACATATTTATATTTTACAGTGATGTATTTTCCCCTTTCCTTGTCTTACAACTGTAAACTTTATGTAATTATATAAGCAATTTCCCTGAGGTCACAACATTGATCACAGTAATATATGGTTCAACTATTACAAAACAACAGCTAGCTATAAAATATCACTGGACATCACTACAGAGTATATGCAATAAATGCAAGACTGGGGTGCACAAACACATACATTCCCAACAAGGCACTTTAAGTAGTATACATGATTCTTTTCCTACCTCAAAGCACCCCGATCCATGATGAAGATTAGATATTAATATCAGGGAAGGGAGAAAAGAGTAGAATAATAAGAGGATCATGGTAAATGGTAATGGGGACACCAGAAAGTTTACCAAAAAACATTTATCTGCTTTAATCAGTATTATTTCAATGCAACCACACCAAACCAAGTAAATTGGCCACTGAATCAGTAAATTCCATAGCAGGGCAGTACTTTTATTAAGCCAAGCAAAAGTGTCCACCAAATGGAGCAAGCTTTAGAGTTCATCAGGTGGGGTGTTAAGCAAGGTGGGGAGAAGGGAGGCCATTCTAGATTGCTGAAGAAGATTGTCAAGTCTTACATACTGCAAACCAATGTAATTTATGAGCCCTGATAACATTTTGGCATCCTGTGCAACTTGACTGATATTCCAGCTGCCTGGATCACCTTCACTCCTCCAACTCTACCACTCCCGAGCACCAAACAATTTTCAGCACAAACCTAATCATGAAATAGTATGGCTTGAAGCAGGGAGGTGGGATTTATTTAAATAGAAAGTCAGCTCACACTCATGTCAGACCACGGGCATAGCGGGGGGGGGGGGCTACCAAGATGATTGCCCCAGGTGCACTGGGGGGGCACTGCTCACACTGCCACCCCCAAGCCAGCCCTATGCTGCTTTGTGAGGCTGGGATTTAATGAGCCCCAGGCGTTATTAAAGCACGCTCCACCGCTGCTTCCAACCAAAAGGGCAGCACAAGTGTGCCTGTAGTGGCTCCTTTGACTGGCCACTGCAATTGGTGCAACTGCGGAGGCAGAGAGGAAACCTTGTTTTCTGTGCCTTCCCACCCTTTGCTCTGACTGTTGGTTTGTTTGTTTCAAGCTGGGGCATCTATTTCCATTTCCATTGCTTTCTGGCCGTTTACTTTGTTATTTTCTATCTGCTACATGATCCTGTTTTTCACCCCATTTCCTCTTCCTTTTGTATTTTCTCCTCAGCTTCCTCTCCTTTTCTCTTCCTCTCCACTTTCCACTGTAATTTCTGCCAGTCTTTCTCCTCATTTTCATTTTTCTTCATAAGTCCACTATTAAAGGGTGTGGTGGTGGTGTGTGTGTGTTGGGGAGTGATATACAAAATAATTATATGTAAGTCTCATTTCAGGTTCCATTGGGTGGAATAGAACTTAAGCCTCATTAAGTAGGCGTAAGATTGAAGCCTTAGAGATGGAAGGGCATAGTAGCAGATGAAGGCAAGCAACAAACTAGCAGGGTGACTGGTGTAACAAGATATTTTTAACAAGCACGTGAAGGAGAGACACACCTACATCCACAATCCCCATGAAGTATACAGGGCCAAAAAATCCAGTTGGCAACCCTGTGGCAGAGTGAATGGCATTGTGTGTGTGTGTATTTCAATTCACTGGATCAGAAAAACAAATGTGGTTACAAGGCACAGTGTAGGAAAACACACTGCCTGCCCTTACTGCTTTGACAAATACAAACTGCATTTTAAGTATCCGCTACTGTAAATCTATCAGTCATAAAATCTCCTTTAAAGGAGCATTGCTTTTAGATGTATGTCTGAGGTTGCAAGTCTATGCACACTTACTTGGAAATAACTCCAATTGGACTTAGTGAGCTGTCCAAATAAACATGCAAAGAATCATGCTCCAAGTTTTTTAGGTGTACTACACCTAAAAATGTAGTTATTAAAATGTTGTCTGAAAATGCAGGCATAGACACTGGACAAACAAACAAAGTTGCATGTGGCTCTCTGCTGATTCTACACCCTGTTGAACATTAGTTCTAGAATATTTCTAGGTATCAACATATCAACATCAAGCTACATATCAACATTTGCCTGCCTCCCAATTCCACAACAGTTTTCCTATTATCCATGGATTTTCAATAATTGCAGACAGTGAATTGCATTAAACTAACTCCTATAAGTGAGGAGGAATTAAAGAACCTTTTAATGAGGGTGAAAGAGGAGAACGCAAAATATGGTCTGAAGCTCAACATCAAAAAAACGAAGATCATGGCCACTGGGCCCATCACCTCCTGGCAAATAGAAGGGAAAGAAATGGAGGCAGTGATAGATTTTACTTTCTTGGGCTCCATGATCACTGCAGATGGTGACAGCAGTCACAAAATTAAAAGACGCCTGCTCCTTGGGAGAAAGGCGATGGCAAACCTAGACAGCATCTTAAAAAGAAGAGACATCACCTTGCCAACAAAGGTCCGTATAGTTAAAGCCATGGTTTTCCCAGTAGTGATGTATGGAAGTGAGAGCTGGACCATCAAGAAGGCTGATCGCCGAAGAATTGATGCTTTTGAATTATGGTGCTGGAGGAGACTCTTGAGAGTCCCATGGACTGCAAGAAGATCAAACCTATCCATTCTGAAGGAAATCAGCCCTGAGTGCTCACTGGAATGACAGATCGTGAAGCTGAGGCTCCAATACTTGGGCCACCTCATGAGAAGAGAAGACTCCCTGGAAAAGACCCTGATGTTGGGAAAGATGGAGGGCACAAGGAGAAGGGGACGACAGAGGACGAGGTGGTTGGATGGTGTTCTCGAAGCTACCAGCATGAGTTTGACCAAGCTGTGGGAGGCAGTGGAAGACAGAAGTGCCTGGCGTGCTCTGGGCCATGGGGTCACGAAGAGTCGGACACGACTGAACGACTAAACAGCAACAACAACAAACTCCTATTCAGAGCAGACCCAGTGAAGTTAATGAACCTAAGTTAGTCATGTTTATTAACTTCAGTGGATCTACTCTGGGTAGGACTGACACTGAATACCACCCAACCTGGGGCTCAGATTACAATGGGAAGGTCCTTTCATTTAGAGTGGCCGGGGCCACCTCTTCATCTATTGTGGGCTGCAGCTAACTTCCTCCATAATTTGACCTATTTTTTCCCATGCCAAGCACTTTAAAATTAATTGTTTCTCAAGAGGACAATTTGCTAAAAGACAATTATAAAAATTTGTCTGTATATATCCTTTAGAGGGTGGTCTGTTTGCATAAAGGGATGGATTATTTTCTGGAACTTTCCTGATCACACAACTCCACAATGTTCAAGCTGAGATGTGGGAGAATTATCTATCCTTAGAGTAGGTTAACTACTGAATCTGTGTGTACATTGATGTTTTGAGTAGCACTAGCCCCAAACAAAACTTTCAGAGATTTGGGGAGAGAGATACATGGGGGGGGGGAGTTGAAAAATTATTCTGTGTGTGTGTGTTTTAATAGAAGCTTGAAACTACCAGGAGCTACTGTTGATAGTAAGCCAGGCCTATATGTTCTCCCAGAATGCAGCATTAGAATGACAATGTTTCATGATGTAGCATCTTTCCAGCACTGCATCAGAGTGTCCTTGTGCATTCTTACCCTCTCCCTTGAGTTGAGGTCATTTCCCATATACGGGCAGAGGGTAAGATAGATCAGTGCTGCACTGAGTGGTGGATGTATAAAAAACACCCCAAGTTTCCCTTTCCCGGGAAGCAGAAGAAAATTTAATGAAGCAGGGTTGGGGAAAGAAAATTAACAGCACCAAGATGCCACAACACTCTTCTTTTATTATTAGACATTATTAATGAGGAACAGACAACATGGGTCTCGTCTTTTCAGTGGCAACACTGAAATGTCTGCTTTCAGCCTCAGTGTCAGGGAGAAAAAAGGAATGGGCAGGATGAGGTTGACAAGTGAACATCACAAGGCACACATATTACATCAGTATTCCAGAAACAGGTAAAGTAGCTATTTTGATGGCACTGACCTATTTTATAGCCACCCTAATAGCCACCCTACTGTCAAGTTTACTCAAAATTTCAATTAAAAATAAAGCATCTTAGAAGATGGACATTATAAAATTTACATCATTTTCCTACTCAGCCCTCTCCAGTTTGAGCCTAGTAATTTATACGAGCTGCATGTTAGGTGTTAATAGAATTACACATATGATATAGTGGATGTTCTTATACAATCTGAACTATAATAAATTTTATAAATTCTGATTGCCGGTTACTCAAGCCATCAAAGCTCTGCCAACAATAGCCAGCAGAGGTCTATTACTGAAGTGGCATTAATATAGAAATCATCACCAATTCTAAGCAGATAATAAAGGACTGACATATTTATTATCATTATTAATTAACAGTTTTCCGAGATGGAATTAAATCAATATGCTGCTCTGATATCATTTTAACTAGTTATGCAAATCAAACATTTAAAGCCCATGAATGGATATAAATGCCATTCAAAATTCACTTCACACTTATTACTGTAATATCAGAACTTTCAGGCTTTGCTAGTAAAAAAAAAAGACTTAATGCTCATTTAATTATGCTCAGACATAAAGCTTATGGAACAAGAGTTGAAATAGCTGATTAGTTAGGAAGTCACAGTAAGGCTGTAACACGAGGGATAGACAATGAGATAATAACGTTGAACATCTCGAGCTTTTGCTCAGGAATTTTCCTGGCAGATCCTATTAAAAAGAACAATGAAATGTGTAGGAGAAAACGTGTTATTTTAAAAAAATACAGAAGTTAAGGAGTCTTTTTTAAAAATGAAGGGGGGGGAACCATTAGCTGTCATTAGTATAAATAGGAAAAAGTTATGTTATTTAACCTAACATTTTTCTAATTGCACAATTATGCTAGGTGCCTGTGTCAGGATGGGGAGGTGGTGATGAGGTAGGGGGTTTAACTCATTGTCATAAGTGACAAAATCTAGTTTGTCAAGACTAGATATTTGAATAGAATGACTAGGTATTTGAATAGCATGAATGACTGACACAGACTGACAATTAGCAACAACTGGCCTGAGATAGGGTTTTGGCCTGATGGTATTGGAGATGACATTTTGACAGGCTCTATGCCCATGGTAAGGTCAGTCAAGAGAATGCCTTGGCTAACAGAATCAAGCCATTGGCAACCAAACAACCAAACTTAGAGTTTCAAGCCAAGCCCTTCAGCATTATGGAGAACTAACAGATCTGAAGAGACTGCAATTTCCACTATGAGAGATTAGAATAGAGAAGGCGCATTAGGGAGGAAATGGGTGAGATTATTAATGAATGTAATCTAAAGTTAACTGCCAATTGTGGTGCTGATCAGGAGAAAAAGGAATAGTTACATTTCTACTATTCCAGCTAAGACTGTTCTTCAGACACTTCTCATTTTTGGAGATTGCATGGCATTTCTGACTTTTGATCACCAAAAGTAAAATCATTAAATCTGTCGTGCTCATGGATATGTCTTCCTTCTTTTTCAAAGAATAGTATTTACGTAACTATCAAATAAATCTACACAACATACCGGTTTAAGGTTTATAGTTTTTCTTACTGAAATGCACTGGTCAAGGCAAAAGATCCAGTACGTTCTGGTTTATGTCATGTGAGAAATTCACTTTGAAAAGGCCCTAACATCTATATGAAGACACTGTCATATACATCAAGGATCTCTGAAAACTCGGTAGCAAAATATAGTCGAGATGAAGGAACTACAAAATTATGCCTAGTCCACCTGTTTCCTCCCCACATAATTAAGTTATTATTTATTACATTTGTATACCGCTCTATACCCGCAAGTCTCGGGCTGGTCCACAGGACCATCTCTAGGATGGTTTGGGTGCAGCTAGAGCTACTGCAATATTCCATCACTCCACATGGAACCTAAGCTTGGTTTAGGGGTTATGCATGTTTCCTTTTGTTTATACATTGCCTCTGCACAGTGTTAGAAATAAGTGATTCAGCATTAAAAATATGGGATCCAGTAAAGTGTGCAGAGACAGGCAGCTCTCCTCAGTCTGAGGAGATCCTGCATGACAGTCGGGCCACAATGGTCACTGCTGGAAAACGAAACGGAAACATTTTATTTCTTGCAAGCATACCAAATATGGCCACATTGTTTCTCCAGTAGAGAGTCACAAGATTTATTCACATGTCCCTTTTAAAATTATTAGACATTCATGCACAAAAGTGTCTTCAACCTATATTGCTGCCCAAAGGAAGATATGGCCTTACATCTAAGAATGTCTGAAATGTGAAGTAGTGCTTGCATATGTGTGCTATAAACATGAATATCTATGATGATATTTAATGCAAAGGTAAAAATTCAAAGATAGCAGGTGCCATCTTTTGGAAGCTTAGAAGGATACTGGTTTCAGTGTTTTAGAACGTTAAAAATGGCACACCAGTAAAGAAAAGTCTTAACATAGCTAAAGACTACTTACTGCACACACATGCCTTCAATATACTGGAAGGGTATCCACTAAAGAGAGAAAGAGAGAGACAGAGCGACACAGAGACACAGAAATGTGGCAATCTTAATTAGGTTTCAATCTTGAGTTGTATACATAACCAGTTTCTAACACTGCACACTCCATTTTAGCATCTGACTTTGACTAGATTGTTATTAGCAGTGCTTTAGTAAGGAAGGAGCAATATGATTCTTCTCTGACAAGAAATACCAGCATAATTTATTGCATTATTACTCCCCTGAACTGAAAGCAATTAATTACCTCCAGCAGGATGCACAAGTGAAAATTCATCAGAGGAAAGTGATGAAAAATGTACCCACCACTTTAAAATAATAGGTGCTTAATAGCTTTTTTTGTTTGCTAGCTAATCTAGAGCATCTTATAAATGCCTCAGGATTGGTTATCTGCTGCAAAGCCAGATTTTCCCTTCTTCATATTACTCTATCATCTATAATCTTTTTATAGGACAGGAAGAAAAATCTGCAACCTTCAACAACAGCAAAAACAAGAACACTTCATAAAATTAAACCTTTTTTTGCTATTATACAATCCACACACACAACACCCTTGTATGTATGTCTTTAAACCTATGTATATATTTATTGCCCTTGTTTGCATGTAACTTTAACCCAAAACATAGCTTAGAACTAACAAGCTAACACTGACTTCTGTAAAGATTGTGATCCACTTTGTTCCTCCCTGGTCATTTTATAGTTGTACTACGCTAAGTTTTGGTAAGGCTTAATGCATTTTCAAAACTCGGGCTCATGGTTTAACTCTCTCAGACAAACCATAAGCTGTAAACCATAGGGCAAAACCTGCTTACAGCTCATGGTTTGCTTACAGAGATCTAAAGCACATTTTATAACAGAGACAGCTTTTAAATTCATAAGCAGCCTGTGGGAAGTTACAGTACAGGCTCCCACCATCTTACAGTAGAAACCAGATCTGTAATGAGATTGTGGACTTATCTGCATATCTGTACTAAACTACACCCTTTTTCAGGTGTTACTTTCAAGTGTTAAGTGGACAAAATAGGGAGCAGCAGGGATGAGCATGTTAACTCTGCCTCCTTCTCTTGCTACTTCAGTTGCCTTCCAACTGGTAGAAGCCAACTGTATCAGCAGGGACCCTTTTGTATCTGAAGAGGCTCCCCATGCTTTTTAGGACACTGGGGAGAGATCAGCTGTCCTTAAAAAAGGTGGAATGGTAATTCTCATGGAGTTTTAAAACTTTGATTAGAGGTTTTAAATTTACTCCCACCTCTTTAGCTACAACAACTTCAAATACTGTATATCTCTGCACCCACATGTAATAGTAAGCAGCTGAAAACTATGGTTTGCAAAACTGGAGGCCAGCTTTCAGAGTTCATGTTCTGCTCCCCTCTGCTTCTGTTTCCAGCATTACCCATTGCTTCACATTTTAAGTTCACCAGTGTTAAACACTGGTTTCCAAACTCACTTCAACCTGTAGTTTCAGCCTCTGGTTTGTGAGGAAAATATGGATTGTGTTCCTGTACATGTAATATCAAATCATGGTTAATGCCAAGTAGGGAGAAAGACATTGTTCCAGAGAGGTCAGAAGACTTGTTCCAAAGACTGGCTCCCAATTTACAAGCCATGGTTTGGAGGAACTAGTGTTGGAATCAACCCCAGGCCTTTTTGCAATTGTAAATGAAAGCTTCTACTCTGGAGATTATAACAGTTTTGCATTCAGTGCAAATGTGTGTTAACTCCATCACTTGCTCCATAAAGTCCACATCAGGTTAGACTTTATAACGCAATGTTCACCTCAAAGCACTGCAAACATCTTCCTGATAAGGACAAAGGAAGAATGTTTCTATAATTCATAAAAATGTGACTGTGATGAAAAGATAAAAAATAGGGAAACTCATTGCATTTATTTTCTTCTTTTCACAATTATTCACATCGATATGATTCCGTAATTGTTTTTTCTATAAAGTTATTGGAGTAATTTTGTTCTATATATTCCTGATCAATTCCTCCTCTCAAGGGCACAGTTGAAAAGTGATATTTGAAAATGGCCCCTGATAGACTGCATGGTTAGTCAGCAGCAGAGACAAACAACCTAATCCAGCGCAAATTAGTTCGGCTGCCAGCAATAGTTTTATACAAAGATGTAAATTATGTTGTCAAAATTGGTCGCTTTCTAGCTTGCTGCTCAGCTAACAAGAAACCACTTTGGCTGATAAAGATGAACACTAAGCTTTTCTCGCTTACAAATTTGCAAATCTGCTTTTTCAGCATTCTGTTAGCCACAAACAAACAGCACAGTATAATTGCTTCCTTTTTCTGCAGTGGTATTTCTCTCATATAATACCATTTCTCTAGACTCTTTTAAAAAAAAACCCAACAACAACAACAACACAAGCAGAAGCTTTTAAAAATAATGCCAGCCAGAACTGCCACAGTCACTTATTTTTAACATTTGCAATACTGCAACACACAAGGCCTGGTTACAATTGCAGCCAGCTATACCGACAATTTACAGACCTATTATAGATGGCATCTAGTGACTTTCCACAAATGAAAGGGGAGAAACTGACAAATATCTATTATAAAGTAAATTAACACACATTAAGACAAAGGTATGGCTCAAGCACACTTTATCTATGTTTTATTGTGCAAGCTTAATTATTAGTTACGTTCATATCCCGCCTTTCCCTTCAAGGAATTCAAGAGCCCCTTATTAGTTCAGAAACAGCATACGGTTGTTATTCTACCTGCCTGCTTAATTGTATGCAAGATACATCTACATCTAACACTGGTATGAAAATAATAATGCATTATAACTGTAATTATACTCAATGTTAGCCAAATAAATAAATTACAATTACCCTTTAAAGTT